ATCGATCTCACCACCGATCTGACTATCGATCTCAAAATCGATCTCACTATCGATCTCACAATCGATCTCACATTCGGCCTAACGATCGATCTCACTATCGATATCAATCGATCTCACAATCAACGTCATCATCATCATCATCATCATCATCATCATCATCATCATCATCACCAACATCCTCGTCATCAACGTCAACATCATCATCATGATCATCAGGGCACCGTCATCACCATCACCTCATCACCATCATCATCAACATCATCATCCTCACCAGCATCATCATCATCATCATCATCATCATCATCGGGACACCACCATCGTCACCATCATCATCACCGTCATCATCACCGGGGCACAAGCATCATCATCATCATCGGAACACCACCAACCTCATCGTCATCATCTCATCACCATCATCATCATGGACAACATCATCAACATCATCATCGGGACACCATCATCATCATCATCATCATCATCATCATCATCATCGCGACACCATCATCATCGTCACCGTCAGCATCACCATCATCAACATCATCATCGGGACACCATCATCATCAACATCAGCATCATCATCACCATCATCGGGCCACCATCATCAAAATCACCAGTATCACCTCATCATCACCCTCATCATCAACATCATCATCATCGGAACACCATCATCGTCATCAACATCATCATCAACATCAGCATTATCATCATTATCGAGACACCATCATCATCACCATCATCATCAACAGCATCATTATCAATCTCATAATCACCATCATCATCGGGACACCATCATCATCATATTCCTCATCATCTCATCATCATCTCATCCTCAACATCATCAGGATAATCATCATCATCATCAGCATCATCATCATCGGGACATAATCATCACCAGCATCAGCAACATCATCATCAATATCATCATTGTCATCGGGACACCATGATCATCACCAGCATCACCATCATCATCATCCACATCGTCAACATCATCATCATCCTCATCATCATCATCATCATCATCATCATCATCATCATCATCATCATCATCATCATCATCATCGGGACACCATCCTCTTCACCACCATCACCATAATCAACATCATCATCATCATCAACATCATCGACATCATCATCACCGTCACCATCGGGACACCGACGGGACACCGGCGGGACACTGGCGGGGCACCGCGCGCCACCGTTTGCCGGAAGGGGATCATGCGGTCCGGCCGCGACTCAGGCACAGTGGGACACCGGCGGGACACCGCGCGCCACTGGTTGCCGGAAGGGAATCATTTGGTCCAGCCGCGCCTCAGCCACAGGAGACTTTCTTCTCGCCCGCCCACGCAGCTTCGCCTCGCCCGCACGCACGGCACGCACGAACACGAAACCGAAACCGATTTCCCGGTAGGGGGGCTCTCCGTTCCACTTCGATCTCACCCCCTCACCTCCGATATACATATATGTACATATAAACAGACATGAATACTACAACCACGCGAGCGCTTCGCGCGCCGCGCTTAGGTTCTAGCTGCTCGAGTGCTGACCGCATTGAGAGCAACAAGGCGGCAATGAATAATGAGGTCAACATTATCTGCTTCCTCTTGCCTCTTCCTCATCCCTCACCCTCCGCTCCCGTCGACCGAATGACCATTGATCTGTCGCAAAGCTATGGGCCAGGAAAAATGCAGCGCTACAGCGCCATGTTGCACTATGTTATGGGATGCCATGGTACACCATGTTACGCTATAAAGCGCCATGGCACGATACAATATGCAATGCAATAACATGATATACTCTACAGTGCGCATCGCATGCCATGCCATGCTGTGCTGTGCAATACTATGATGTGCAAAACTATATATGTATGGGATGCTACGCTGAGCCATCTCATGCTATGTTTCCTATGAAGAGCGGTGCTACCGCGTTACATGGTATGCACAGGCACGGCATGCCGGGCTACGCAATGCAATGCAATGCGCTGCTATGCCATGTCTTGGATGCAGTTTGGAAAGCCCCTTGAAGGCAATTTTGGAGGCCTCTTGGGGGCCGTTTGGGGTGCTCTTGGGGCCTCTTTTTGGGCCTCTTTGGGGGCTCGTGGAGCCTCTTGGGGGCCTACAGGGGGGCCTCTGAGGCTCTGTTGGGGGTCTCTTGGGGCCTCCTGGGGGCCTCTTGGGACGGAAGGCTCGAATTGTCGGTTCGTGTTTCCCTCTTGAGGCCCTTTTGGGCGATCTTGGGCGCCTCTTGGGCCGTCTTGGGGCGCTCGTGGGCCATCTTGGGACTCTCTTGCGCCGTCGTGGCGCCCTCTTTGGGTGCGTCTTGGGCCGTCTTGAGCTGATTGCTGGGGCCTCGTGGGCTGTCTTGGACCGTCGGAAGCACGAAACTGCGAGAATACGAAAAACGTTCAACACCCCTGGAAAAAAAAACTACTGTCTTTCTCTTCCTGAGTGCCTCGTGGGAATCCTTTTGAAGGCACCTTGGCCGTCTTGAAGCCCTCTTGGGCTGTCTTCAAGCAATGTTGGACCAAGTTTGAAACGCTCTTGTGCTGTATTGGGCTCTCTTTTTTCTCCTCCCATTCCACGGGTGTTCAGTCCACTGAGGGGGCGAAACTGCCTCAGCCTGCTCGTTGGCAGGGCGCCAAGCAAACATTAGATCACAGACGCGGCGGCCAACAAGGAGTTCAGGACCTGCGCACGCTCGCTGAAGGTGTGCAATGAGAGGCCTGCGTCGTGCTCTCAGCAATGACGGCTGTCGGCTCATTGAGCCCGCGCCGCTGAGGGACAACCAAGTCTTGTCTCACGCTGGCGAGCCCTTGTTTCAAAGATCTGTATACCATATGCACAAACTTACACGTGGGTCTTGCGCTTCAAGAGAGCCCAAGATCTTTAGTGGTCTTGGGCTCTCTTGGAGCACTCTTGGGCCATCTTGGCGCCCTCTTCGACGTCTCTCGGGCCCTCTCGTCGCCCTCTTCCCCTCCTCTGACGCGTTCTGGCACACCCGCCGAGTTCAAAACGGCCGGGAGAGAAATCATAGCACTCCGAACCCTTCCCCATTTGTTTATATACATATATATATATACACACCAAGAAACAAATGCGAAAGGCACCGCGTGAGAGAGTCCATCTCAGAGCGGCCGTGCAGAGTCCCCTGTGAAGCTCAGCACCTGTGTGAGCGCAATGGCTGGCAATGGCTGGCAACGTACGCGGCACGATCACAGCGACGGCACTAAAAAAGCTTATCTGGCCGTGTCCTGGGGTTCCACCCCACTGAGCGCCCCCCCCGCTTCAAACAGGAGGGCTGGCAGGGTCAACAGAAGCAAGATGACGAAAAAGGTGGCCGCAGCTACAGACGTTCAGGCCAGCTCAAGTGTTGAATGGAAACGCTAAAGAGCCCGCCTGAGAACGTCTGAGCAGCAAATTGGGCATGACTGAAACCGTACTGGACCGTCTTGAGGCAGTCTTAGAGGCAGTCTTAGAGATCAGCAGGGGAGGAGAGGCATCACCCCTGCTGAAGAGCTTGGAGAAAGGAGGAGGCTACCCCACCATAATCCTCAAGACACTGCGACCTGAGACCGAGGTGGCGATGGCATAGCTGGTGGCAGCATCCGCAATCAGCGCACAGTCGGCCCGCATCGTAAGGATGCGCGGTAAGGATGCAAGGGCCCTGGACGCCCATTTCGAAGCTCTTCGAGCAGGCCGCGGCCAACGAGTGGCTGAGGATGAAGCGAGCAGGCAAGGAAGCAAGGGTACCCCTTGGGAAAGCTGCCCATCCTCACCATACGGGTCGACTGTAGTGCTCGATGCTGCCGTCCCCTGCTGCGCAGCCCAGCAGGCAACGCCCGACCCCCGCCCTCGGAAGCCGACGGGCCATGCACCAGCCGCGGCAGCCGGAGCGGAGGGCGGTCGGCCACGCCCGAGGCGGGACATGCGCAGACCATGGGCGTGAAGTGTTGCAAAATGTCTGTGGCATCGATGGTGTAACGTTTCGTCGGCAGACACTGTGGGGGCATCTGCAGTGCTCAGGTCGTGGCGCGCTGACAGTCAGATGCGAACGCCATCGGGGCACAGCGAGCGAGCCTCTACAAAAGAAAGCCTCCGCGCCTCCCGTGCGGCCCTCGAGATCGAAGGAAGGGCGGACGCGGGAGGGTGAGCCAGGATGCCCACGAGAAGAAGCTACGCACGATGCACGGTTTCCCCTGGGGCCGTAGGCGGCCCGAGGAGGCGGAGGAGGAGAAGGAGGAGGTGGAGGAGGAGGAGAGGAGGTGGAGGAAGGGGAGGAGGAGGAGGAGGAGAAGGTGGAGGAGGAGGAGGAGGAGGAGGAGGAGGAGGAGGAGGAGTAGAAGGTGGAAGAGCAGGAAGAGGAGGGGGAGGAGGAGGAAGAGAAGGAGGAGGAGAAGGAGGGGAAGGAAGAGGAGGAGGACGAGGAGAAGGAGGACGGGTCGCCTAAGCCCTTCGAAAAAACCCTCCACTACGCACGAGCCACCTCCTATTGATGCTGGGGGCGGATCCTCCTCCTCCTCCTTCTCCTCCTCCTCCTCCTCCTCCTCCTCCTCCTCGTCCTAGCGCTTAAACGTGCCAGCGCTGCGACATTTGAGGGCTTGCCTTGGGGCGGAAGTTCGTGCAGTCATTCGCCCAAGACAGCAAGGGGGCGAGAGGAACCGACAGACCAAACATGTTAAATCTTGAAGTCACTTCTCTTCAAAATGTTGAGGTTGCTCCAAATCTTCATGATCATGGCTGATGTCGTAAAATCTTGACATCTTGATATCTCAAATCATGGCTGAATGTCTGATATCATGACTGATGTTCGAGATGTGCATGATTATCGTGAGGATGGCTAATGCTCGAACTGCTCACGAACACCAGCCATCTCCATGATTACTCTGTAACCGATCCAAGTGTCCGAGCAGCCTTGGCACCTCCCACCGCGACCCCTGCCTGATCATCCTCCTCGCCCAGACCTGTCCTCCAGGGAAAGCCGCTCTGTTGAGTCACTATGACATGTCACAACGTCAACTTCGACGACAGTTTCCGACTCTCCTGGCGGCGCCTCTTCGAGGAGGATCGCCTGGGGACGCGGATCACGTTTTCTAGCACCAGCATAATTTGTCTAGAAGGAGTCACGTCGCTGCCCCCGTCCTCTGTGACATCCAATCTCAAAACTGCGTTCGCAGATATTTCGCAGACTGCCACGCCCATGTGAGGCAGCTTGAGCCGGATATTGAATGTCTCCATGCTGGGTTTTGTATCCTGCGCACCGTCGCCGAACTCATGATCATCCATCATACTGTTGTAGGTCACCGTTGCCCATTTCATAAACGAGTTCTGATTGACGACCCACTGCAGCAGCCCTGTGCCTTTGCATATAGGCCCACTCAGACTCAAGAACTCGGCGGAGCACTGCAAGATAGGCAAACCATCGGCCTCTGGGTTGATGTGGACGATCATTCCCGCGCACTGGGTGCCGACCTGTCCACCAGAAGAGAAGCTCCCTGAAAGGCTGATCGAGTCTTCCGAGATTCCTACGAAAGCGTCAGAAGACAAGACCACCGGGCTATCGCCGAGCTCGCTCTGAGGCGGCGCTCGAATATGCTCGGAGTCTTCCGTCACACCCACTATGTGAATCGGCTCGTCGTCTATGTCAAAGCCCTGGGCGTGGAATAACTGACACTTTACCGGCTTGCCGCATGAATCTCGCAAATAGAACCTGAACAGTGCAAGTGTCAGACATTGGCCGCTCCAAGAATGTAGTCAGACGGTCCTTCTCGGAAGCATCGAAGGCTAGATCAACAAATGAAACACCAACACCCAGAGTCGTGGGGAATATGAGAAGAAGTTTGGCAAGGTGTGCAGCTGGCTTTGAGAACAGAAAATCTTGCGACATGTGCACCACCGCGTCGCACACACTTGACAACAGCCCGCCCACTGTGGACTCAACATTTCGCGACATCTTCGCCTCCAAAATTGCCAAGAACTCAGCTTCGCGGGACTTGCTGACGGATGATGTGATGATGAACATGAAGAGCGAAACAATTAGTTAATTCCTGACGCGCGTCGGCGGGTTCATGTACCGGCGAAACAGCTGCGACGTAGGCAAGACCCAAAAGAAGAGTCAGCCTACGTCTGCAATGAACAGTGCTCACTGCGACGCGTTCACAGATTCTCACTGGGCTGGCTTTCAAGAAAGCGACTCTGCTTTCGGCAGTGATCGCAAGGTAGAAGACGACAACATACAGGAGCACGTGGAACAAGAATACGACAGTAGGGGAGAGCAAACGTGGCTTGAGAGTGCCTGCCATAAGGAATGTAGTCAAAGCCAAGTTGCCGAGGCGCGACGCTGAGGACATATCATGTTGGAACAGCTGAACCATGTTATAACAGAAAGCAAAGCAGAGTATCCTAGGGCACCCCCAGAGCACTTGCTCTGAGAGTCGCTTGTCTGCCAGATCCTTCAACTGACGATGCACTGGGTGCGGTGGTGGCATGAAGAGTAACCACTTCGCCGTGGTATTGAAATGGACATACATTGACCTCCATCGCGGCAAGACGCCACACAGCCCCGAGCTTTGAAACCGCCAGATAATGAGAACTAGCGTCAGGCAATTGAAAAGGATACTGATGATAAGCCAGGTGCAATCGTCCAACATGATCGGGCCCCGAATGATCGCCGCTCTGGGCAAAACGCTCAGTCCGCTTCGCTGAGATACGCCTGGAGCTGGGCCTCTCGCATGAGCAACATGGCTGCAGCTCCGACGGCCACGCTGGGGGTCAGCAGGCTGCGAGGCGCATGCGTTCCTGTTCCATGCAGCCAGTGCACTTCCCAAATTGCATGTATACACGCTCTCACCTTTGGCTCGACAGATGTGTGCAGTCCAGAGCCCGAAGAGTAACCAATTCCCCTCCCAGAATGGGGCTCTCAGAACTTGTCGGGGTGCCCAAAGCAGCAAACTCGCGCTCCCGAAGCCACGATGCCCTGCACTCGGGCTCCCGAGGCCACAGACCCATGACAGATTCGCGCTTGCGAGGTCAGAGCCCGTCGAAAAGTAAGGCGCGGTCGCGAGCACCACGCCAGAACCTGTTCGTATACTACGACGTGCTCGCGCTCCCGGGGCCGGATCTCTGGTAAAATGCGACAGCGCCGCGCCCCCTGAAGCAACGCCCCCGTACACATGGCAGCGAGCTTGCGCTGCCGAAGCCACAAGCAATCGCGAATTGCACCGCGCTCGGGTGCTAGAAGACACACCACGTCGTAACTTACAACGGGCTCGCGCACACGAGGCCACACAACCTGGAAAATTACACGATTGGATCGGGATCCCGAAGCCACCATCCCTTGCAAAATCCCAGGACCACAATGCCACCCCGCAGAGGCTACCCCAGAAGCGCCACCCTGTGGGAGCAGAGAGACGAGCAAACGTTTTATCCTTGAGCCGCATGAGCGAGGATTGAAAACGGGTCTTACGCGAGACGACATAGCGACCTTACGCGGCGGCTTGCGCGGGCCGCCAGCGCTGCAAGCTACGCTGGAAGCAAGGGCGCTTACGCGCGACCTTACGCGAGCAGCTCACGCGCCAATGTCGGCGCAGATGACGCCGTGTCTGTTGCGTCGGTCATATGGGTTTGGACCTCATGAAATGCCTCGTCGATCGAAGCTCCACGTGCCAACTGTTCCAAACGCTAAGCACATCAACGAACTCCAGACGGAAGATACGCGCGTCCAGCTCCTCCTGAATTCCTCCTAGGTTCCGCACCCCCCAAAGAGTAGTTAGCAACTGAACGAAAGCAACCACAGGACTTCAGATCCTGGGCGGCCACCGCCCCGCCCCCGAACAAACAAGGTACAACAGGAAGCACAGCCAACTGAGACTACTGGAGGCAAACACCACCGAACCTATCGCCAACCACCCGGTTCCCTGTGTCCGGGCAAAGGGCCCACCATGTCTCGGACTTGTGGAGGGCCTGGCGCAGACCTGCTTGGGACCGATTGTTCAGAGCTGGGGACTCTCGACGGCGCTCCGATTCGGAGCTTTCGTCAACGAGGATCAACCCCCACTGAATCGTCAGCTCAAAGCGTGCAGCATAACACATGGTGACGTCTCCCTTCGCGGGTGGATATACTGGCATCTGGCCGTGAGGGATCCACTGGACATGTCCGCCCGCTCGCTCGAGCGATCCACATATCATGACCAAGCCGATCGCAGCCCTTGCCTAAAGCACAGGCGTTCCCTTCTGTATCATGCCGTCAGTGCTCTTGGCGCTCACCACACGCATTGTGCTTCTCTCGAGGCCCTGGGGCACAATCGCGGCGCCACACGGACACAATCCGGGGTGTCCACGTCATAGAACGTGACGTCCCTGTACATCACCTGAAGGAACCCTGTTTCGCCGACTGCCGAGGACAGAGCCAGGGTCTCATCGGCCAGCGTGGATGGCAACTTCCGACGAAGCTTCGAGCTCCTCCATCGCAGCACGGAGGCTTTCACAACCCTGCCCTCTTGAACTGAGCCATCCGAAGCCAACGCCATCCCGGCCCCCTGAGCGGGGCCCACCGGCCGCGTTTTTCCAGGACACCTCCAGTGGAACGACCCCCCCAACATCCGAAGGAGGAACCGAGCGCCATGCGATCTGGGTTCAACCTCCACATTGTGATGCCCTGGGACGCCGTGGATCAAAGATGGCGAACGACTTGCGTTGCACGGATAACCTGGTGGTGGCGTTATCCTCCCCGCTGGCTAGGACGCCATCACCCCCCGCAGCAACTGGACGCGCCTCCCTGCCGACCCTGTTCAAACTTGCAAGCCAGGGAGCGCCACGCCCGAATCTCGGAAAAACCTCGAAGGGAAAATCCTTCCTGGAGAGCCTGGCACTGGCCATGACAAGTGGCCTGATCTGCTCAAGGAGGCACTTCTCCTGGCCCGCAAGAGCTTTCGGGGAGGCGATCACGCGTTACCACGCCGGTCCCCATTTCAGACCACTCGCTGAACTGCCGCGGGGCGTGCATTCGACCTCCTCCCTGCCGCGAGGATGACAAAGAGGTAGAGTTCACGACCAGACCATCTGCCGGAATTGCGCTGATCCTACACTCGGTCCCCTTCCTGCAGTGGTGCGAGTCTCCTCCCGCCTCCTCCTCCTCCTCCTCCTCCTCCTCCTCCTCCTCCCCCTCCTCCTCCTCATCCTCCTCCTCCTCCTCCTCCTCCTCCTCCTCCTCCTCCTCCTCCTCCTCCTCCTCCTCCGCCACGCATCTTGCGCATTGAACCAGCCGGAGCTTCAGCTTGCCATTTGCCCCACCTATTCCTCTCCTCCCCTCTCAAGACCTTTCCTCGCACCCGAGAAATCCGCCTCCCATTCTTCCGAAAACACGGCGAACTGGTCGACGGCCAGTCTTTCGAGGAAGCGAGGCCACCTGTTCATCACCTGCCGAGTCTTGGCAACAGCGAGGTCGAGCCGAAGCGAAAACCTTTCGGCCTCGCAGGGTTGGGAACAATCTCAATAAGGCGCAGCGCGGCCCGCGCTTCGGACCGATCAATCATCGAAGCCATCTGCGCCACCAGTTGCTGGCTACTGTCGAGCAGATCTTCTTCTGGAGCCAGACCCATCCAACCCAGCCCCGGACATCGCCCTCGTCCTCAGCCCGCGGGGGAAGCAGCACAGGGGCCCACTGATCAACAAGTCGTAAAGCCTTCTTCCCTGTCTTGCGAATCGGGGCGCCAGGGCGACTCTCTAACCCCAACTCCATCGCGGCCGAACTAGTTTTCCAAGCGGCGCCCAGCGCAGTCCACGCCGTCTCGACGCCCGGCTCATCGGCGACGACGTGGGCTTTCACGGCCGCGGCCCCAGCGGCCGTCCAGCCCGGGGGTCCCCGAGAGGGGGCAAAGGGGAGGTCCGTCGGGAGCCTCTGGTGGCTGGCGCGCAAAAGCTGGCGCAACTTCACCGCCCCAGGCCCGAGGCGAAGCTGGACAGAGCGGCGGGGCCTCTTGCCCCGAGAAGAAATTCTCGGCAACCTGCTGCACCAGCTAGCAGAAGACCGACGGGGCCACGAAATTCTTGATCGTGGTGTTGGCATGCGGGATCACGCAAGTCTCCATCTCAGGCTGTAGGATGAGCATGCCAGCCTTGGGCGGCATGCCGGACATCTCGAGGCAGGCTGAGCCGGAGTTCCAATCAACTCCACGCAACGCGAGGTGCCTCCCTTCCATCACCTGTCCCGTCATCTGTAAAACGTGCAAGTTGCGCTGGCTTAAACCTTCCCCCCGTATGCAGATACGCACTTCCAACGAGCAGCGATGGCCAGCCTGGTAAATCAAATAACACAAACAGCAATATGCGAGGTACTGCTATGCCATACGCAACATGACCAGGCCACCCCAACCCAACTGTGACTCTGGTAAAGGTGGCAACTCCTGCGGACGTTTGTCCATTGGCACAAGCGACGGACTGTATACACAACACATTCCATCCGAGAATCTTGGCGCTGCTGACGCGATCTCCCCACAGTTCGGCATCCACTCATATCTTTTGCGCAAGCACCACTAGGGTTGTAATTGAAGCGAATCGTTTCTTCAGTGTGTCTCCGTTCTTGATCAGAAACCATCCTGCTTGCATGTCCCGATAAGAGTAATCAGCAGGCCAACGCACGGACCTTCAAGGCTCGAAGAGGTAACAGCCCGCGCCTGGAATACAATGTCTTCCCCCGCCATGATCACACAAGTCGGTACTGGCGCTCTCGTCCTGAACATCATGATCATCAACGAAGCGACGTTTTGGGTCGCTTGGCCGTGGCCCCAAAGGGCCTCCACGATCGCACGCTCGTCGCCATTGTGATTCTCACAGAAACTGTCCGCCGCATCTTCGTCGACAAACATGCAATCGAACTCACCATCCATGGGAACAGGCTTGTCGACACCTGACCCTTCCTCGGCATCACCATCGCCACGATCAGGAGCCCCAGGCCTAGGAACCTGCGCTTGCGTGCGGAAGAGCGTCGCAAACCGCCAAGAGGCAAGGATGCCACCAACTGTCGCTGAAGCTCTGCGATTTCCTTCCCGGCGGCAGCACGATTCGTCTCCAGATCCTGTTTCTCCTTCTGCGCCTGCTCCAGGCGCTTGCCGCACGCAACGATGTCCTCGCTGATCTTGGACAAGTGGTGTTTGCAACGTTTGAGCCTGTGCCCCACATTGCTGTGCTGCGTGAGGTCAGGTTTCCTGCCCTCGATATTCGCTCGCACTTCCTTGAGCTGCTCCTCGAGCGACTTCTTGGCGGCAGCAGCGGACTCCCCATTGCATGCGCTGATGGTTTGCTCGAGCTGAGCCGCCTCTGTGCGCAAGGGGGTCCTCGCACGGGTGTCCGCTAGGGCCCCAGCGGCGCCACCCGCACCGCCGCCCTGCTGGGCTGGTGCACGTGCTGGCGCCATGAGCTGCTCGAAATTCCCGGTGAAATCGGCGAACTGTTTCTCCAATCTTGCTTCGCGTTTGGACCCAGACCCGCGGCCGCCATCACCATTAGCGAAACCCTGCGCACGCTTGAGCACCGCTTTTGGCGCTTTGACTCCGCATCGGCATCGCAGCTGGCACGCCCAGTTCGACGTGATCCCGCACTTCAGGCAGTTCAAGAAAGGCTGCTTCGGCCCGCGGACCACGTCACCATCCATGAATGCCTCGGCGAGGCAGAAAAACTGCGGGGTTTGGGCTGCCCAAAACTGAGTCTGCCAAATGGCACGCGACAGCGACTGCCGCTCTGAAGACAGCTGTCGCAGCCCAGAAAGCCTGGGCCAGAACGGCTCTTGAGCCAAGACGACTACGGAGGAGAGGAGAGGAACGCGGGGACCGCCTCTTCAAAACGAGGACCCAACACCACAGGACGGTTGGGAAAAATGTGTATCACAACCAGGGCCCGCCTGACTTGACGGCGCACACCACGGGGGGGTGGCTCGCGGAGGACCTGGGACTTCTGGGAAGGCGGGGGGGGGGCATCTGAAAGGATCCTGGCTTCCAGGGCTAGCCCTCCCAGGGGCTTCCAGGCCCTTGCAAGAGAGCACACCCCCTGCCTTCTGAGAACCCCCCCCGCCCCTGGCCATCGCACGGACGGCCATTTCCCGTGCACCGTTCAGCTTGGGGCGCGTCCTGTCTTCTCCCAAGATGCCCCAAGATGCTCCAATCGGGGAGACGTATGACTCGGACAATGGCGAGACCCAATCCGAAATTTGACGCGGGCTCCCGCTGCAAACATCCCACGAGAACCGGACCGTCAAAATCCAGGGCGCGCTCGTCAAGAAACGCCGGCATGCCCGAGCTCCAGCGTGCTCGAGTCTTGCGCTTCCCCGATCCAAGGAGGCCCAAACTTCCCGGCGCTGGCCTCGCCGCGAAGAGCGCACACGCCCGGACGACACCGCGAGGCCCCTCTCGGAAGGCCGCCCGCCCCCCCACTCGCGCCCCGCACCACCCCCCCTCCTCCGTGCGCGCCGCGGGCAACCTCGAGGCCGGCACCCCCCCCACGGGCGCCACCCCTCTCCCTCTCTCTCCCTCTCCTACTTCGGGCCTGGCTGTGCCTCGCCATCGATGCTCGCACTTCCGTACTCTCTGCAAACCGCCTGGCACGTGGATGGCACGGCGGGCCAAAGGCGGCACTTCCGTCTTCTCGCTCTCTCTTTCTCCTTTTTTTGTTGTTTCTCTCTCTCTCTCTCTCCCTCGTTGGGAGGGAGGGTCGTCAAGAATTCGCTCACGGCGCCCACGCAGCCCAGGAAGGGACAGCGCGCCGGCGGCGTCGGAGCTCACACAAAGCCTCCTCGTCCCCTCGCCGTCCTCCCTCATCGCTCTCATCCTCGTCCTCCCGAGATGATCCCTCCTCCTCCTCCTCCTCCTCCTCCTCCTCCTCCTCCTCCTCCTCCCAAGAAGCCTGGCGCGGGTATTTGCGTGGTGTACGCTACTACGGCGCCCGAGGGGCCGTAGCGCAACGTGGAGAGCCGTAGGTGGGGTGGTGTCGTTTGTTTTGGTCGAGCTGCCCCTGCAAAGGCTTGGGCCGAAGTGGCGGGTCCCGGAGACCCTGACGCCCAAAAACATGTCGTCCTTTGTGATCTGAAAGATGCGTTCAGAAACAATACATGCCAAAGAGTGCCATGCGTGCGATGTGCGCGCCACCGAGCGCGCGTGTCAACATCATGCAACGACAATAGGTTTGCGAGTCGTTTCGAAACATATGTACGCAAACACGAAAGCTCGAAACCTAGATTTTCAAATGCTATTAGTACAAATGTGTGCAACACCACATTGCAAGCTTTCTGCGCGCGCACTCGCCTCCTCACCCTCGTCCTCATCCTCCCCCGCATCCTCCTCCTCCCCCATATCCTCCTCCTCCTCCTCCTCATCATCATCATCATCAGCAGCAGCAGAATCAGCATCAGCATCATCATTGTCCTCATCAGCAGCAGCATAATCATCAACATCATCATCATCAGCATCATCATCCGCATCATCATCAACATCCTCATCATCGTCATCATCATAACCACCATCATCATCAGCAACCATCACGATCAGCATCATCCCGCTTTCTGTCACGGTATGATTCCCTCCTCCTCCTCCTCCTCCTCCTCCTCTTCCTCCTCCTCCTCCTCCTCTTCCCTCCTCTTCCTCCTCCTCCTCCTCCTCCTCCGTCTTCCTCTCCTCCTCCTCCTTCTCCTAACTTCGCGCTCCGTACTCCCCCCCCAAAATATCCCCTCCGCCCAACACATTCCCCTCCCGACGAATACCGATACCCCTCCTCCAAAAACATACCCCTCCTTCTAGAACATTCCCCTCTCCCCCTCCTCCCATAACATCCTCCCCCGCTGCCCACCCATCCCCCTCTCCAAGCCGAGGAAGCCTCGCCGTGCACCCCCGCGAAGACGTGGCGCCCCCCCTGCCCAACGTTCACCTGGGGGGCGGCAGGGAGCGAAGCAGTCCGACAGGTCTTTTCTGCTCGCTGCTCGCCACAAGGCTCTTCACGAGGAGGAGGAGGAGGAGGAGGAGGAGGAGGAGGAGGAGGAGGGGGAGAAAGACGAGGAGGAGCAGGAGGAGAGGAGGAGGAGGAGGAGGAAGACCCTGGATAAAGCAAGTATGATGACCTCCACCCCGACACTGCCGCACAACCCCAGTGCCACTGCAGGTAGCATTGCCGCCGCCCGAAAAGAGGAATGATGGAGGAGGAGGACAACACAGAGTGACAACAGATGGCACTGCCACCGCCCAAAGAGCGGAACGACGGAGGAGGAACAAAGAAGAAGAAGAAGAAGAAGAAGACCCCGAAAACCCAAGCTGCATCAACGATGCTGCAATAGACCCTCCCTAGGGCTAGGGGAACAAACAATGGCATAAACACAAAAACTCGGAGGTCCGCGCGGAGTTCTCGGACCCGAGGAATCCGCGCGGACCTCCGAGATGGTGTGCTTCTGTCAGTGCTCGTTGCCCTACTCGCGTCCCAAGTCCCTCCCCCAAGGTCCCCACAAGCGTTCATGTTCAGCTGAGCGAAGCTTTTTATTCCCCCAGAGCAAAATGACACCACAGATGATGAACAAGACGCGTCTCAAATGCAACCTCTTTGTTGCACCATATCGAGCACACCATGCCTCTGGACCCCTTTTCAAAGCAGGGAGCAACAGAACACGGATGGCACTACATATGAGGAATAAAACGCGTCTCAAATGCGACCTCCTTGTTGCACCATGCCGAGCACTCCATGCCCCTGTTCAGCTGAGCGAAGCTCTCCCCTGGAGAGAGAGAGAGAGAGAGAGAGAGAGAGAGACGAACGCGCCCCATGGGCTCCCCTGCGGGCTGGGACCCTCCGCTCTGAGAGGAACTGCCCAGGGCCCTTCGAGCTGGAAGGAATGCGACGCCGTTGGGGCGAAGACCCAAGACGCCCGAAATAGGGAACAGGGCCCTCTGCAAAATCCATGGGCTAAACTTCGGCTTCCGATCGAAAACCTAAGGAAATCCATAGGCAAGCTTTAGAAGCAGGAAGGAACACCGAGCCCCTACCCGACGAAAGAGGGTTCCTGCTTCAGCGCTCCGATTGTAGGGTGCGACCATAAAACTCAAGGCAAAAGCCCAGCGACAATCCAGCTGTGCAAAAGAACCGCCCTCCACGTGTGACCGCTGTAGAGTGGTAAATGTCTGCCCCTACAGTCTGACGAGTTCTCCATGAGAGTACCCTGCTTTGAAGATGAGTCGCCCTCCCGACGTGCACAGAACTGTTGCACAACTCTCCACCTGCGGTAGAGGTTGGAACGGGTCTCAAGCGAGAGCCCCCTTTTGAACTGGAACCGCGCTCCATCCGCGAACCTGTTGGAGCATGGTAAGACGAATGTGCACGGCGCCGCGGCAAGAGCCCAAGCGTGACAAGAAATCGCCATCCATTCACGTAGTTGTTGGGATAATATGAAACGAGCGTACCCAACGCAAAGCGATAACTCCATGTTGGAAAGGAACCGCCTTCCGTTCCCGAAACTCCTGGAACGTTTTGAAACAAATGTGCGCAGCGCCAAAGCAAGACCCTCGTTTTGAAACCACGCGCCCTCCACCTGGGTAAGTGGAGGATTTGTTCATGACGAATGTGCACGACGCCCACGATGGAGCACAGATTGAAAACCTCCCGTCATACATCCGTGTAGCTGGTTGAACAGATCAAGCTTCAAGATCGCATAACGGCATGCAAATATCAGACTAAACGCCTGGCACACCCTGAAGACAGTCTGGTTGCGCGACAGGATTAATGATAAGGAAGATGTATGGAGGGAGGAGGACGCAGAACGGAGGACGGAGCATGGAGAGGAGAGGGAGGGAGTGAGGGAGGGAGGGAGGGAGGAGGAGAAAGAGGAAAGAGAGGGACGAGGAGGAGAAGAAAGATAGGGAGGAAGAGAGGGAGGAGGAGGCCAGGGAAGAAGGAGAAGGGGTAGGAGGAGGAGCAACTGAGGAAGATGGAGGAGGAGGAGGAGGCCAAGCGTCCCCGAAGAATCAGGAGGATGACGAGGGAAGTGGAGTCGAGGAGGGAGAGCGTAGGGAATCCTTCCCCTCCTGCCACCTCTCCCCCCTCCCGGGGCCGGGGGGGATGCCAACCCCGTGGCGGGCAACCCGAGGTCTCGGAAACTCCACCTGGGCTGCCTAGGCTCGCCGGGAAAGCGGGTACCAGAACCTCGGGAGCGGAAGGCCCAGGCTGGTGCGGGAGCGAGGGTGCGAGGCGGGGATGTCCATGCCCGCCACCTAGAGAACCGCCGTCCTGGGACCCCAGCGGGCGGTGGATATGGACACAGTTTGGCCCCTGGGAGTCTGGGAGGTCTAACCGACTAGTCTAGATGTATCTATGTATATATATATGTATATATATATATATGTACACACCTACATACCTCTCATACTTCTATAGGCGTCTGTATGTATATACAGATGTACATGCATACACATCTGCACCTCGATGTATACATCCATATCCGTACCCAGATGCAGATCCAGCACCAGATCCATGCCCACCGCCTGCCGAGGTCCCCGAAGATGGATCCCCCAGGCGGTGGTTATGGATAAACCCCCACCTCGCGCGGGGGCAGAATCCGAGCAGCACACGGCCTGCCCTTCACGCCTCACCTCTCGCAGCCCTGCCCGCGCGCTGCGCCGCCCGCGCGCGCGCGGAGATGCTGGGGAGCCCGCCCTGGCCCTAGGAGAGGGCCTCGGCTCCGGAACGCGCGGGCAAGGAGTGGCTGAGAACGGATTCGCATCCATCTGTTTCCCAAATTCAAAGCTCCATCGATCACTACGCCAACATCGTCTGGCGGGGCTCTCGAAACCGCGGCGGAGAGGTCTGAGCACGTAAGACCCAAACCGGATATAGGCCCCGGGGCAGAGCCTCGCTAGGCACACGCCGTAGCGGTCTGGACGGCAGAAGCTCACCGAGCAGGTGAAAACCACAAACCGAAACACCCAAAATGGTCCCCGTGGGTCCGCCGTGGAAAAGCAAAAACGCCATCGGATTCGCATCAGGTACTCTTCTTCCCCCGCGTGCGAACCTGCGCTCTTCAGACGGTGAAGGGGCATCGGACGGGAGCAGGGGAAACAGGCAGGAGCAGAGGGGCTGGACGGGGGAGCGAGGAACGCCAGGCAAGCAGGGGAAGAGAGGTAGCGGGAGGGAGAAGCGAGAGGGCTTGAAATCCTGGGGAGAGCGCAACAAGTCGGACGAGGTGCTCGTCCGCGGGCGGGGGGGGGGGGGGGGCACAGGCGCCCCCTGCCCGCACCTCCTTGGCGGGAGGGGCCGCGTGCAAAAGGCGGGGGTTGCGAGACACCTCCCCCCTGGGCGCGCTCGGAACGGAGGCCCCGACGGGAACAGCTGGCGGACTGTGGCGATCAGGGTTCGGCGTCTTGCACACCCCGTCTGCACGCCCCAGACTGAAGAGAGACTCCTCCTCCTCCTCCTCCCTCCTCCTCCTCCCCTCCTCCTCCTCCTCCTCCTCCTCCTCCTCCTCCTCCTCCTCCTCCTCCTCCTCCTCCTCCTCCTCCTCCTCCTCCTCCTCCTCCTCCTCCTCCTCCTCCCGGCTTCCAGTCCGGTTTGGCACGCGCGCCTCGGAGCCCCGTGACATCGAGGCGCCGCCCCGGGCACCCCCGTCGGGGGCCCACTGCCAAGACAACGGAGCCTGTTGCCAGGGGCCCTCGCGAGGCACGAGGTGTGA